ATTGAGATGGGATTTCCTCAGCAGAGCGGCAGAAAATTGGAATGCGGACCCCGCTCTTTTTCGCATGTTCCACCTCCGTAAAAGCTCATCATTATTATCGCACGAGGCCTGTGGAACTGTCGAAGCGACAAGTTCGGACCGGATGCGAGCACTCCAAACACAAAGATTCATCTTCTGATTTTTCACGCATTCCCCAATATGATTTTCGCTCAACCCAGAGGTGAAAGAGGAGAACCGAAGCGAGAGACTAGCGCGTCCATCACTCCTTAGACCCCGCACACAATGTAGATGTTCCGTTGGCGGAGCAAGAATTTATCCATTTCCTCGAGCGACCGAACAAACATGGGATCTCGCTCCGGTTATTCGAGAAGAGAATATGACCCGCTCAGAAAAAGTTCAAAGCCGCTCCGATCGAGCTCCGTCTCGGCTCTAGTTTCGCCCGGGACTTGTTCGAAGCATCGCATGTCGAGAAAATGGAGAGATATCTGCCTAGAAGAGCATCTCATTTCCAATTATGTATCTGATTCGCCATCTCAACATGTTCTGACGATGGCTCAATGTTTATAAACTCGGAGGAGGAAGCGAAGGACTATCTTCGGGAGGAGCGGATGTTTCTTCGGGTTTCGTCCGTGGACTCTCCGCGCGGCTGAGTCGACAACTTTGTGCGAGGGTAGACCGAACCGTGCGGATCGATAGAAGTTCCCATAGGTCGATGGAACAGGGAGTTGCCAATTGGCTCCGTCTCTCCAGAGCTCCGCGAATGTGGAGATCGCGAGGTTAGTGCCTAATATTACGAATAAATTGCTTTTATTGCCGACTCGGCGTATTTGACTAGTAGCAAGCTAAATGTGCTGTATCACAGTGTCACGTTCTAGTCCAATCGAAATTCTCCCAAGTGCCTAATATTACGGCTACTCTTTCTTTGGGTTTCCTTAGCTGTCTGCCTTGTGAAAGCTGAGTACTCTATTCCTGCTCTCATGCTTGTCGAGCATGGGATTTCCCTCGCGAGCGAGAACTTTCTTGATTGAGGAGTGCGAGGAATTCCGGACATGAGATGCTTCGAACTCACTCGGTGGATAAATCATGAGATGTGGCACGCAAGATTCTAAAACGATCTTGCATTCATTCCTGAATCTGATATTTGACGAAAGAAACTCTTTTCCACCCTCCGGATGCCTACATATGTACGTCTAGCTCCAGGAGTCGCGCGACACTGAGAGTCGCGGATTCGAACTCAGGCCCTCGGGACGTTGAGTCGATGATATTCTCTCTTGATGATTTCTATTTTCCTCGAGGGGTCGAATAAAGTAGCCGCTCTCGCGAGAAAGGGAATCCGTCGTATTACGTGTCGAAAGTCCTGACCGTGTGACAACTTACGGGATCGCGAGGAAGGAAACGGAGAAACGACTGGCTAAACCCTCGGAGCATCGGTGGAATCGAGGACCGCCCCGGACGGCATGCGCGTCGATGCCGAAGGCCAGGGGCGTCCACAGGATTCTTCTTGAGGGGGGAGCTAGATCAGGTCCTCGCATGAGGCTGATTCGCAACATGGCGACTCGCTCCTATACCTTAGTGCTACGAACTCTCGATCTAGGAGGGGTTATGGCCCCTGAGCCCCCCCCCCCTCGCGGACGCGCCTGCCGAAGGCCCTCGATGGCAGCGGTTTGCCTATGTTTTGTTATTGCGCCTTTCTGCCCGGTCGTACCTGCTCACTGCCTGTCGATTAAGGAGACATGAGGAGATCACAATACCGAGTGATAAGACTGGGAGAGATCGTCCACTCAGATTCAGCCGGAACAATCCGACTAACGCGTCGCATCGCTTCTCTCTTGCCCTCCCCAACTGTCACCGATGTGCCGTCAACTCCGGGCCCTTTCTCGATCATATCCAGGATGTACCGCCGTTACGGGGCTATGCAGGAAGAGGAGGGATCCCTGTCCTGGTCTCATAGACCATTTCATTTCGTCTGTTCAATTAGGTGTCTTGAGCAATATAGACGAGATGAAATAATCGAATTAGGTCAGGCTGGCTTGGGTGAATTACTTAGTAATCAATATAACGGGGTCTCTCGATTACATCTGGAGAGATCTCCTCTGAAACATTTCACCCGAGCGGGGTTGATTCTCCCCCACGTATCCAGCCACAGGTATGATAACAGCCCTCATAGGCTGGGGAACCGCTCCGAATTTTCCACCCGCGGACAGAGCTTTCAGCATCGTCCATAGACCCCTCCCCTTATTGGATACGCCGTGCAAGTAAACGAAAACTTCTTGTGACCTTGTTGCACAGATCACAAGACTCGGCGCATGTCTTCGAAGTTCAAGGAGGTCGGTGGACCTTTATAAAAGGGCTCTGCGGGCCCAGAAGAGGAGTCGGACCGGAATCGAATGATCGGCAGATGAGTCGCTGGCGAGATCCGATGGAGCCGACTCGCTGTATCGAAGGGAAAATGTTTTTGTCGACCAATGTCGGGGGCTTCCGGCAATGATGGTAGACTCTTTCTAGGTTGTTTCAGACATCGCAATCTCACAACAAACGGCTCTCCCGAGACCAACCTATGGCTCAAGGGAACAAGTTTTCCGGTCGCCCGTAAGCCTTAACGAAGTTGTAAATAGATCAGGAAAACGAATAAGAGGACGAAAGTCGTACTGCCTCTACGTGCTCCGAATATGTCGCGACCATCTCCTCCCAAGAGACTGTACGGGTCGTCACAGTAAATCTGCGTCATGAACGAGAACGAATTTGCTCCTGGTCGGTATATACGTTTATCGTGCCCCTCCATTTCATGTTTGGTTGCGGGTTCGACGATGAAAATCTCGCATCGCATTCAGTCTTTGAAGCGGGGAGAGCGGTGTAATATTCCCGTGGCAATTCGCTCCTCTCTCGGCCCACGCGACAGCTGGCATGCTTATGTTTCCTCTCATTCATCAAGATACCCCCGCTCGGATCGCCGACGAAACTGATCTCGGGTTCCGTTCGCGATGTCTCAATCACTGGAAAGAAGATCGTCGGATCTCTCTGGATGTCCCACGCGGAAAGTTTCGAGGTGTGGCTCGCTTGCGGAGGAAGGCTGCTCCCGATTGTGGAGTACTCGAAGAAAATGGCCTGAAGACGAAGAAATTGCTGTGTCGGAATGTTCGATTGTTCTTTCTCCGAGCTTGTCCCCAATCCCCGAGCTTCTCGGGCATCTCACCAGTCCCGGGCCGTACGTTAGACCTAATCGAATTGCCTGCTTCTCTAGGGAATCCTCAGAGCAAGGTGCACTCGAACTGAATGAGCATCAGCCCCGAGCTGAGGTCGTATGTTTGGGCTCAGGTCGTGTCTTCCTCACACACGCTTCGCATGTGCTTATTGTCTCCATTATAAGTAGATTCGGGCCTATAATGGCTCGCGAGGCATAGTCATGATAGACCGAGAGCGTCCCGAATGCTCCCCGTTTACGCCGAATTAGTCTTCATCTTCATGGCAATGGACCAAGAACGGGTCGGATCCTGGGCGATCAGGAAAATGAGATATCGATAATCTTAACAATCGACCCATTGGGCGGATCTCTGCTTCTCGCGCGCTTATTCCTTGCTTCGAGTCAGCACTGTAGGAATGACATTAGCCTTCAGCGTTTTTATGCATTCCGACGGTCGTATTTTCCATCGTATCGTAGTATTTCCATTGGGAGGTTCTCACCGATATCTTCCCGAATTGCATGGCTCATTGCAGGGGAGGCGTTTCATCGACTCCATCTCGTCCGACTTGTTCATGCACAAACGTGATCTGGCATCCTGGGGCTCCTCTATTCCGTCAACCGCCCTCCGAGAATGCATCGATCCTCTTGACTGGGGAACGCCGTGCAAGCTCCTCGATCAGAGAGCTCAAACGGAATCACTGATCCTTGTTCACGGCCTTGGCGTTCAAGACCGTTCGGAGTCCGGTATCCGCGAGGTTCACATCTTCTAGAAAGACTGTAGGATTTTCCAGGCTTCCGAATGAGGGCGCGCCTTTCCAGGAATCAGGATTGACTTCCGAAGCTCTAGAACTCCAGTATCGCAAAAGTATTTTCCCCCGATGATCTTAATCACTCACCTGTCATTCCCGTGCGCATCACAAAGCGTGCCTGATTGGCGAGGATCGGTGAGCAGAACGATGATGTATTTGATTGACGAGCTCCCAAAAAACTCGCGGCTGATCCCGCCTCCGATTTGGATTGTCACTCACTCCTTCGTCAACTGAGCCATTCTCGGAAGAATCGACATCAGAACTCGCTAATCATCCGCAAGCTCAAGGCTTGTGCGAATCTAGGAGCCTTTGCGATTGCCTATCTCACTTTCAGAGCAAGGACTAACTTCGAGTGATTCCTAATGCGGACGACTGTAGGGGTTTCGTTGTGTGTCAATGTAGAGCGGTCGTCCGTCATTTGTTGGGCACGTTTGACACAACAACTTGTCGATTCTGCTGAAAGCAGCCAGCGGAGGGGTTCCATAGGGAAGGGTTTCGACCTTGAGCTGGAAAGGGTATCCGGCCGCCGATACGTTCGTCCGTCAACTGGAAGCTTTGTTGAGAGAGATCGTTCGTACCTCAGACGCTTTTATGGAGAGCCGGTAGCGGCAATGAGCACCTGTAGATCGAGCTCTGGTTAGCTTCATGGCTCCACATTGATTGTTCCAGAGCTAGAACTCCGCTGTGGCGACAGGATGAGCTCTGCGCTTGGAACCCCGGACGTGACGACGCATCGAGCGACTTTCTGCCTTCATCACATAGCTCGGCGAATCGATTGAGAGAAGCTCCGGGATCGAGTCTTGGAAGAGATCTGGAAGAGGACTACTACTCGTCGCTTTTGAATCTGTCCGGGGAGAAACTTGCCGAACACTTTCACATGCAGCCGGCCACACGAAGATTAGACTGCAGGCCACGGCTCCTTGACGAAATATTCAATTCGCTCCTCCCATGACAGAAATCATGACGCGTCCTCTCGGGGTACATACTTTAGCATCATGACGACCGACGGATTTTGGGGGGAAAGGGCCTCCCGCGGGTCCGCAAATTTATTGAAAAAGACTCTTGTCAAACGTTTCCACTCAATGGCTCTATACATGAGGACAACCTGGTGGAATGCAAGGCTATTCTCAATTTCGATTGAGCTGTCCTCTTCTCATCTGTTGACCTGGGTTCTGTCGCATGAAAACCGCGTTGGGAATGACACCGTTCGGGGGTGGTCTCTTAGGCAAGCTGGCGAACTTGATCTGAAGCTTCTTCGTTTCGTTGTCATATCTCATGGGGATATTCTTGCTCGAGAGCAGCTGAGGAGACGAACAAAGAAATCAGAATTCGCTCAAGGTTGAGAGAGTCCATCCAAACTCTAAGGAGAACCCTGCCCCATCCCATCCTGATCGAGACTGTGTCGAAATTCCCTCATGAGGTGCTAAAAGTCAAAATGGGAAATCGATCTCGAACTCACTTGGAATATCTTGTATTTGACCGTGGGGACTCGCATCAAGAAGGCTTGGAACCTCTCCTCGTCTCGAGGCAACTCATACCTGGAGAGGGAGGAAAGCAACAGTAACATCGACCCGCTCTTAATGTATGCAGAACGTAATCTGTCTCAAATGTAGCACGGATCGGGATCGCCCCCCCCCCCCGCGCATCACTCGAGCTTCGTTCCGATACAAATCGACTGTATTCGAATATCATATGTACGGCGGAGCCCTGGCTCAACAAACGGGAGAATAACCTTTCATTGTTTATAGATACGATCGCTCGAATCGGTTGCTTCCTCAAAGTCGCCACCTAAGAACAAGGAAGGCGAGTATTTATTGAGGATACGTTTAGACTGCTCTCGAATCCACTGCGAAGGATAACTGACTCACCTGTAGAGCTATTCGATAGCTCGTCTTTTGTTCTCTGGTAATCACGATCCTACTACCACGAAGCTCTACAGGAGTTCCGAAGGATTTGAGCTCCTCAACCAGTTTCTGTGGGAGATTCATAGCATCAAGTTGGAATTTCGATAAATTCGGGAAAATCCCATTGCGTACGAACATGTCGAATCAATCGTACACGAAGGTTCTGACTGCTGAGGATCCCAGTGAGTTTTTGAAGATCCCGCGGAATCACGAGATCCTCGGATCCGATACGGATTAGGATTTTCCCGTTCTGAGACGAGATCTCATACGGTCTGAAAAATGAAAACTTCCGGATGATTGACCCGAATGGATGTGTTTTTGAGTACCGACTTCGACATCGGGCTCCAATGGCGAGCCATCAATCAATCGTGCCTTTTTTCCGAGCAGCAACGACCTGATTGGGAGATTAGCCGTGGAGACGACACACATAAGCCGACATCCGATCATGGGATCGATACTCACACGTCTGGACTACTGTCGTCGTCATCTTCTTCCTCTTCTTCGTCGTCATCGTCTTCTTCCTCTTCGGTCTCGAATGTGAAACTGACTTGTCCCGACTTCTCGTTGAACTCAACCGGAATGTGATACTTGGCCAACAGCTAGAATAGAAAGAAGCTCGGAGGCGCACCCACGGAGCATCGCAACTTCGCGCTGCTGAATGAGCTCAGTGCATGCGAATGGTTATCACTGCTCGCAAGCGACGACTATTCATCCAACCTTGAATAGTTGGAATGTCATGGCGGGCTCTCGATGAATGGCAGCCTGGAATGCGTCTGCGTCTCTCGGCAGGACGTAACGCTCCCCGTTCATGGTGATGATTACGGTTACGAGAACTTTGTTCCTCGTCTTCGCTTCGACCTCGATCCTGAGTAGATCATTAGCATTCAGTCACTGACTGGGTGCAAGTCCAAATACAGTTTCCGATTTGATATATTGTGTTCTGACTTCGAAACCGGATCACAGGTGAATCATACCTGTACGATGAAGTCCTCTCGGATTGTACGACAACTCGATTATTCTGCATCGTGACCGGGATCCCAATCTGTTTCAACCTTGTGACGATCATCTGGAAGCATTTGTGAAACAATTGACTTCGTGCCGCTCCTTGTCCAAGGCAAATTTTCCCCTGTGATGCGAGAAAAATTCACCCCGGACCCTCGACTCGATGATCCATGGCTTTCAGCGCTAGACTTCTGCATCTAGCTCTCGATATCATCGCCGACGTAGAAGAATAAAGTCCTCGGAGAAGTACGATTGTGAAAGAGTTTAAGGAAGAGTTTCGATGACTATACCACGAGCGTCGTCGAGCTGACCAGCTGATTGAGCCTTGGCAAATCCTCGGGAACTTTCAGGTTCGCTCCTGCTACCAGAATTTCCATCTCACCATCTTTCGTCGTGATGAGGTCGTAATCCGCTTGATTCTCCTCCTCTCGGCTGCGTGATGGAACAAAGAAGCAACTCTTCGAGATTTATGCAAGTGCAAGAGCTCAGCTGGTTCTTGAGAAAGGCTCCGGCAATTTTCTCCTCCAATGCCCCTGAATGGACACTCTCGACGTCCGGGAAACTCCAGAGTATCCCGCAATATCCGGCGGGCGTTGCCCGCTGGAATTCCTACCTGAGGAATGGAGTGCTCACCGTTTGCCATCGCTGACTGGATTTGACTCCGGTAAATCTATGTCCATGGTATTGATGTTGAAGCCGACGTCGTGTTCGACGGAGACCTAGGGAATTCAGGCATGTCCAAGATCTAAAAGATTTGCATGGGCGTTCTTGCCGGAAAATTTCCTTCCGGATGATAGCGACTCGGTATCAACACCGCCGGTCCACCACTCAAGAGATGATCCTGTACCTTGAGGACCTCGTATCGCAACCAGGGTTTCTCGTGCAAAAGATTAGACAAGGTGTCACGCTGCTTCGGCAGTCGGAACTTTTGATGATCCACCGTGATAATGACTGTCCTCTCTGATTTCAGAACGTCCATGTCTGTGTCATTCTCTGTCGTGGCGTCCTCCTGCTGTGACGACGAATCTTCGGCGATCACGTCTCCATCCAACGTGACCGGGAAGCCGTCGCGATGGAGAGTTGCGTATATTTGCTGGAAGAACGATAAATGGAAGAGGTTTCTCCGATTGATGAAAGTTCTACGACCATCGATCCGGATTGGTCAATTGCGAAAAAAGATCCTTCCGAGGGGAAGGGAATAGATTTGGGATGAAGAATGCTCCCAGGTCAATCCTGTTCCATGGATCCCACGTCGATAAACCCAGGTAAGCCCGAGGCAGGGGAAGCAGGCGATTCGCGCTTACCTGGAGCTCGTTGCGATTCACCTTCTTAGAGAGTTCAGGCAGCTGATCCGGGATGTCGAAGTCCGCACCTCGAATCGTCATGAATATTCTCTTGTGGTCAGCTTTCAACACGTAACTGTCCTCAGACAGAGGCTCTTCGAGTCCGCGATCGACATCGAAGGCGACACCAGTTGTTTTCATTTTCTGAAATAGGTTCGAATTCGTTTTGTCTGGTGAAAATCCCGAGCACGAAAAGAGAGCTGAAAGCGGAGGAGATTTTTCGGATCTTAATAGAAGTACTGTCTTGAGATAAGTGTCTCCTCCGGAGCAGCGGGAGCGATTGAGCTTCGGCCTAGCCCTTCAGATTCTCGAGACCTTCAGGAAGTCGTAGGTGATTTTCGGTTGACGTTTCAAGAAGTCGCTCAGACGAGAGTTCTCATCCGGCAGATCAAACTCTTCGCCATTGATTCGGAACCGCTTCTGTCCTCTCGTCGTAGATTTCCAAGAGAATGAGAACTTGGTCGAGCTGTAAGACGTCTGAGCGATTCGTCTGCCGTCCCGATCAATGGGAAATCCGAGGATCCGGAGTTCCTGTATGAGTTTCTGGAAAGATATCCACACCACCGATTTTAACGGATTCCTCATTCTGGTTCGCCTCCTGACTCCGATCCGCCGCTCGTCTGCCACAGAAAACAATTTGGCGGTGACGGCGGCCGTCGTACTCACCGATCGTTCCTCGGGATTCATACGATACAGGAGAGCTTGGAGGTCGTTCGTATCATAGCGCCGATTATGATACGTGACCATGATACGTCCATCGGTCTGGAGCTCAATGGGATAATCCAGATCGCCTTTGATCCTTGTCCTGGAATTACGACCCGTGTCCGTCGGAGTCACTCCTGTATCTCCTGAGTTAAGCTTCCCCAGACAAAGCCACGCAAACCTACTCTCCCATCTCGTTGGAGCCGGAAAACGCCTCATCTCGAGCGGGACGCCGCCCACGGGTTCTCTCCTCTTGTTCCTTCGGAGAGGCGGCTTCAGTTATCTCTGATGACGACGAGGATGACTCGGACGAATCGAGTGCCGTCACTCGTGAAGCTGTAGTCCGAGAACCCATGTCTTGGAATGTCTACGAGGAAAGCGTGCATTAGGCAGAAAATGACCAAACTGCCCTATTTCTGAATTCGCGATGATTCATCTTAGGATTTAGGATTTGCACCGAAGTATCGGATGGAGGTTCCGATCGCTTCTTACCTGTACAGTTGCGTGAAGATCGGAAATGTACTGCTCGGCGTCACGATTACTTTCGAAAGTTTCTCTGAGCTCAGAGGGCATGTCTCCCAGAAGGAATGAGTAGTTCCCTATTTCCTGGAATAGAGGAGGATTCTCACTCGACTCAATAGGATGTTCCTCTCAATCCAGGGAGATTCGCGCGGCTGTCAGGGGGAATCGGGGGATTCCGTTCGGGTTCACCTGCGCGTTCAGGAAGTCACAGAGAGAATCACGAGAACGATCGCGGCTCGACTGCGAAGCGTTTTATACAGATATGTACTGATTCGGAGTGACAGAAACTCACTGAGCCCGCCCAACTAGCCTCGTCCTCGGGAACAGCACAGTCCATGCTAAAGCCTCTCCTACATATGAGAGACCCACCGAGAGGCCACCGCAAAATACTAGAGGGAAGGATCCCGAGAATTCGCTGCACCAAGGCGAGACTACTTTCTCCGATCGCGGCATTTGTTGCACCCTGCTGTTTGGATTTCTGCTAATCAGCCGGCTGAATACGAGGTATTCCGATACGGTACGTATTCCGATGCAATGCGGGAACGAATCCGCCATTTTCCGTGCCACGAGAAAGTTTCCTCATTCGCCTAATTCCATCATTCCCATAATTTCCGTACAATCGGGAATCCCTAAACAAACTAGCTCGTACACCGCTAATCAGAGAAATCGGAGAGAGCAGATAATTTTCGGATCCGAGCTCGGTTGGTCTGATGTCGATATCTCAATTGAATATTAGCCCCCAATAAGCGAGGCCCGGCCGCGACTTACAGTCGTATTTTTATTGGTGAGGCGAACGATCAGGCTGATGAGACCTCGCTCAGGAGCCAGTAAGCTGCTTATGCATTCGATGGAGCACACTTCCTTAGCGGCTTCCACTATCGAAGAACAAATGACCGTCAAGAGGAGAACGGAGTATAGAGCCAGACGGCACATGCTTCCACTTCTTCCAATGTGCCAACTTTCGATATAATACACTCGTATTGACTTGGTTATTAGCTGTTATTCGACCGAATTCCAACTCGACCCAAACCTCTTGACGTCTATATAGAGAGGGAAGTAGGCATAGATTAACATCCCTTGATTGTGTCGTGAGTTCGAATCGAGACCATAAATCCGGCATGGGGGAAATAAAAAAACCTATGGCTGACCGGCGAGCAATTAGTCACTTTGAGACCAACGTCAACCATATACATAGCAAGCAATAATAATAATGATTATAATGAAAACAACAACAGAAATCATATTTGCAAGAAGGAGCACTTTTCCGAGCTGCCTCGTGCCGGCTCCCCTCCGTGACCGCCGTAGGTTCTGTTATTGTGATCCCTATCTTCTTGCCCTTATACAACTATCATGCCGCCCCGACAGATGTCTGAGAGCGGGGCGCTGGCCGCGTGTTGTAAACATCATTCAGTTATTCCACCTGCTCGTAATACTCTTGTGCTGTGTCACGAGAGGGAATTTTGACAAAAATCGACCTATCGGGATGGGGAGTCCTCGAATTTCGTAAGGAAGCTTACGGGCAGATCCAGCATGCGATCGTTCCCGATCCGGAATAGGCACTGAGGGTTCAGGATGAGTTCCGGCGTTGCGCGGAGCTAGTCGATGTTTGCCCCAAATCAGGAACTAAGTGAGCTCTCCGCGATCACAGCTGTCTCTACGACTCTAACGCTCCGCTTACATCGCGTATCAGTCAGAGACCGTGAGTCCTCGAATCTCAGACGGGATCGGAAATACCTCCGATTGCTGTTTGTGTGTGAGTCCGCGCACGATGGATTCCAGGTCGCAATTAAGCCCGAAGAATCGGCGGAACGGAAGTCATGAGTTATGAGTTATGAGTCCCGAAAATATTCCAGAGCACCCCGTAGTGCCCGAATAGATATCCGAAGGAGTCTCGCGCTCCACGCCGGGATGCGAGCGTCCTTCCGGGGGGGTCCTCCGTTATCTCTGAACGAGCCTCCCAGCAGCCGATGCACAATGAGAAATCAAAATGATACTCAGAAGAATAATTCGTATTAACGTTCGCCTCGATTCTCAGAAAGGCTTCGCCAGCCAGGAGTCAAACACTGTTTCGGGTGTTCACGTCCGTAGCATCTCCCGTTTGCTGGCCTTGCGGCGGTGGGATTTGCACACGGATCCGCGGTACGCATCTCGGATGCAGCCGGGGAGCGTCAACATTTGCATGCGCGATCGCGAGTTCCTCTGCTCGCTGCCTTTTTGAGCTCTTGCGCGAGAGATCATCCCAATAATCGAGCAACAGCTGAAGAGGGGGAGGGGGCGAAGGCAGAAGCACACCCCGAATCGGAGTCCAGCTCGTCTTGCTCTCACCGACGATAGGAATAGGGTCGAAAGAAATCCTCGCTCGCTCAGAGAGGGAATCTCAGGATCGGATGACCCTTCGAAGATTGAGGGTATAACTACGACGCCGACGGTTTCTCTGAGGACGGCAAAGCGGCAGACTCTGGAAGAGGAATCAGGGCTCAGAACGAGGCACGACCCTTTACCAACGATAGCGTCGAGGGGACCTTCATTCTCATTGGAATTCAAGGCTCCCACTTGGAATAGAAGACCGTCCTTTCTATAATCCTTGAAAGGCCTCGGTCACCACTCTCCGTTGTCCGGAAAATCCAGCGTAACGAATCAGAGTCTAGACGTCTGCATACACTCGTATTCGAAAAAATCTAAATGAGCGACCGGAAACGGAAATGTTTGATCGAGAAGAAAATTCTCGATTTTTCGGATCAGGGGGATTGACTACGTGGGGATGCATTAGTTCATTCGAGATCTGCTGTCTTTGCCGCGCGTTAGCCTGCTGTCCCTTCCGCGCGATGCTTTTTCATCGAGCATCAGCGTCATCCGCGTCGACTTCGCACCGGCGCGGCGCCATCGCAGATGAGCAACGCGTAAAGTGAAAGCTCCTCCGGAAGGGCAAGATGAGAGGGTGTTCATTCTGACTGGAAGAGCGACTCCCAAGAGAGGGTATGTGTCAGACTTTTTTCTGCTCTGTCAACGCAGGAAGACTCGCAGAGACGCGAATGAAAATCGTGCTTCATATCTCTACCGCGCGTTCCGACATGAGAAGAAGCCTTGCTTTGAGCTCGTGCTGAGTGATTCTATGCGGTGAAGTGATGCTCGAGGGCAGTGTTCATGCCTCTAGAACATGTTCTTACCCAAAGCCGGCTTCGTTCTGTTGGCTGGCTGGCTTCTGAAGCCGACTCTCGCCGGCACCGATCGTAGTTTCTATCACGCGCTGTCATCTCAGGAGGACTTCGCCTACTCGTCCCACGCAAATTATGTCGACAACTCTATCGAACCTTCGCCGCGGAGGTAGGTTCCCCACTCACCGTAAGGAGAAGGATGATCGTCCCGACGAGTCGACATGTCAGGGACATAATTTCAAATCTGGGAGTTCTTCGAGCATCTACGTGTGTACAATATCTTTCCGCCCCGCTGACCGTAGAGAATTGATGTTAGACAAGTTTTCCCACGGAAACCTCGAATCTCGCTTGGCATCAATCGCACCAATTTCCCCTGTCGGCGTCCGTCTCCGGGACCTCGTAAAATAATCGCCCCATCTTTATCAGCAAAGCCCCTCCCTTTCTGGACCTTTGCCGGATATTCCCTTGTCGGAGTACAAGCATCTGTCTCTTCGGCATACCCTATCGAACTGCTCTCGAAGATTGAGATTTGCGATTCGGGACAATCTAGAGCAGTTGGTCCATATTTTCGAAAAGGAAAGAAGGCGTGTAGTCATGGGCAGGGACCTGCCGGGGAAAAAAAACAGATCGAGTCAGGCGTGAGAAAAGCGTCCTGTAATTGATTTTAAAAACGCAGTCGGACTAATTGAACACACGACAAGACGAAAAATGGGAAGAGTTATGGTTTTCTTGACTCGTTGCGCGTCGTGAATGCTCAACAATTTCGCGCTGTCAGCGTATGAAGTTCTCCACAAGTGAAGACAGATGGCTGATGAGTAGATCCCGGGGTGTGACGAAGGCATTCAGCCACTTCTTCATCTGAAAAGCAAATCTTTCGCGAAATTTCTGCTGTAGGCGCGAGATATTGGCTAATCTCCGGACCCTTCCTCGCATTCCGACCACGACTTCCGAATGGATGAGCCGTGATGGATATCCTGGGACGGGGACCAGCGTGGCCAGTGGAACTCGGAATTCGGACTAGAATGGTATTCATGGGTCTGGTCCTGTGCGAAAGGCTGCGATGATGGTCGCAAAAGTTCCACAGTGCGAGTCGTCGATGATGTAGGTGTCTCAGGAGGGGGAGTTGGGCACTTCTTCAGGTCTGGGCACCGGTCGGTCGAGAGTCGGATTCAGGAACTCCCATTCCAACGCATTTTGTTCCCATACTCCGAATTGGTGTCGAAACCGAGGCGCGTTCAGATTCTGGGATTTCCTTCCTACCCGTGTCCTATGCCTCCCAGGCCAAATAATTGATATGGTGGTTACATGCTCCTATCCCTGTGGATATTCAGAGGCCCCCGCGACGAAACTGTTCCGTACTTTCCTCGATCCTGTCCCGTAGAGCAAAACGATTCTTGAGAGTGGTGTTCCTATGTAACGCGGAATGAACGAAATCCGATGCTCGATCTGAGTTGTTCCCAGACTTCCGTTCAGTCTATTAGTCAGTCTCGCGTTGTCACGCGTTTTCATGGGCGAGATATCGTGGTCTCATATCGGTTTCAAGAATGAATACTAATGGTGTTCCCAACTTGTCCTCGAAATCGACAAGGTGCATTATCGCGGCGCCAGCGGTACTGTACTCTCCTCCTACAAAGCCGAAATGCCGAAAACACGAGCATCAATTCAGAAGCATAGAACCCCAGTTCTCCAGGAGATGATTAGCTATCAGGAGGAAGAGGAAAACTCTTTTATCACGTTCTGGGAGGAATTTCAGTTGCTCACACTCTTGAAGCCGAGGCGTTTTATCACGAGTGGGAGCGAGAAGATGCATTTCTCGATTTCTTTCGATTGTTGTGCTTCACGGAGAGAGTTGAGAAGTCTTCCGTACCTTTGACTCACATTCAGAGCCTGGTCGGCTTCAACGTGAAAATACATGCAGGTATATCGTTGTCGATTCGAAATCACGCCAGCCGCCCGAGGCTCGATCTTCTCAGCGTGCCAGGATTCTGGGCTCCGACTGAAGCTCTTAGCTTTCTGCGGTGCCCGTAATTCCTGTTAGATTGTCCCCGGAGCAAAGTCTTTCTAATCGAGGGGGAGATGGAGGGGGCAGAACAAGAGGGAGTTCCCGCTGCCGGCGAAATTCGTGAAGCCGTCTAACGATTCGGGTGGCGATCCGGATGCCGAACGCTTCCTCTTCTCTGGGGAGGGTAAGCTATTCCGAAATTTTCTGTCCCCGCATGAAATATACCATGGTCAGAGCGGAGCCCTCATTTATTCACGGTTCGTTAGGACTGTATCGTTCAAGCTGAAAGCTCAACACTCCCCCGTTTTGATAGAAATCTGATTTCCATACAGGAAATCATTCTGCTAAATTGAGCTGCCACCAACGAGGGTCCAGAGAGTTCACGTGGTCATTCTCATGTTTGCTTTTTCCCTTCGCGGGAGATGCGGTAAGGGATATCACATTTAGGAGATGAGTGACGCCTCACACGAACTCCGGCTCCGGTGTCAATTATTTCGTCGTGGTCCTTGTCCCCGAGATTTCCGCTCTGGGATATCTCGACTAAATTCCCTTCGCGGCTGCTCCCGATCAATGTCCAACTGGAACGTGGAACTTGCGGAGCTCAGCGGATTGGTACCCAGGAAACCGCGTTTCGGCGGAAATTCCGGTGACAGTTTGGATGCATCGGTCAGTCCGTTGACCGCTCCTCAGAGAGCTGAGCTCTCGCTAGCATTCCACTCGGCTGCGCACACAGCTGATCTCTGAGCCTCTCGGTGCAGACGATTTTCTATCCAATA